GAGAGACACCAGTCAGTGTACAGGTATCTCCCTGAGCAAGAAGGATAATGGGGTACCGAGTGGACATTAGTTCGTCTAACCTGTATTCTACAGCAGATCAAGTTCCGGATGACCCAGCTGAGATGTCAGGCGCTGTGTCCCCGAGCCACCGTCTCTATGCTGCTGCCGCTGTTGGAGATTTGCCAGCGATGTGCCAAGCCCTGGCACTCGGTGCCAACGTGAACTGGACCAACAGCGAGGAGTCCAGGACCTCCCCCCTCATCGCTGCTGCCCGAAGAGTAAGGGATGGTATCACTCGCACTCGGGGCACCGTGCGCAGTTCCCCGGTCTCCGTACCCTCCCCACCTCGGTCAGACCCACACTCAGAGCATCATGCGCAGTTCCCCGGTCTCCGTATCCCTCGGTTAGACCCGCACTCGGAGCACGGTGCGCAGTTCCCCGGTCTCCGTATTGCCCCCTCGGTCAGACCCGCACTCGGCCCCTCCCTCCTATCTCCTTGCTCTTTTCCCCAGTGACCATTCTTTCTCTGCTTCTGCCTCAGGGATCTCTGACAGCCTGCGAATATCTGCTCCAGAATGGCGCGAACATCAGCTACCGAGATGCCAGCGGGCAGGGCCCCCTTCACGTTGCCACGCGTGCTGGTCACACTGGGTAAGTTTGAGTGAGCTCCTTCTCCTCCTCTTCCGAGTGAAATCTGAGTTGGTGCCCTTCGCTGTTCCTCGATAATAGTATTGGGTAGAGCTACCATGGCCTCTGAAATCACCTGTCATTCTCTGACTCTCGATGGAGGCCAAACTGTTTTGATTTTGAATAAGAGAGGAACCCATTGTGGTCAGGACGTGATCTTAACACGGGATCGAGGATCGGTTGGCTAGTAGAAAACAGAGAGTTGGGATAAAAGGGGGCTTTTGCAGACTCTCAGCCCGCAGTCCTGCAGGGTTCAGTGCCGGGCCAACAAATGTTTCTGACATATGAACGGCCTGCATCGGGAAAGCTAACTGTACTGTCGCCCAGGTTATAGACAACACCAAAATAGCTCACCCTTCCACTTTGTGTTCCCCTCAGCCCCGTCTGCCTGTTGCTAAAGCGAGGAGCGAACCAGTACGCAGTAGACGAGAGGGGACAGGACCCCCTGAGTATAGCCGTGGCGACTGCCAACGCCGACATCGTCACCTTGTAAGTCACATGGGACCCTGTGTGCGCACGCGCACTCTCTCGCACCACGCAGCGTGCTGAAACACGCGCACACACAGGCACGCGCACACGTACATGCGTGTGTTAACAGAGACACACGTGCATAAGTACTCTCTCTCTCACTCACTCATGCGCGCGCACACACACACACACACACACACACACCTCTCGCTCTCTCACACAGACCTCACTCTCACTCTCACACTCACACTCACACTCACAGTCTCTCTCACACATGGTGTGTCTCTCGCACGTGGGTGAGGGAGCGGATGCTGTCGGAGGGTCAGCGCCAAGGGAGCGGGCCCTGTTGGAGGGTGAGGGAGCGGGCGCTGTCGGAGGGTGAGCGCCGAGGGAGCGGGCGCTGTCGGAGGGCGAGGGAGCGGGCGCTGTCGGAGGGTCAGCGCCAAGGGAGCGGGCTCTGTCGGAGGGTCAGCGCTGAGGGAGCGGGCGCTGTCGGAGGGTCAGTGCCGAGGGAGCGGGCGCTGTCAGAGGGTCAG